TTATAAATAGTGCTATGTTACAGAAAAACTAGCCATTGCCAAGGATCATATGGGAAAAAATATCTTTAAGCATTTTATTTACCTACAATGTCAAACTGAAAAGAAGAAGTGGTGTGAGGGACATTTGTATATTTTTCTAAATTTCTGTTAAAATAATTTTATTGCCTTTGATTCCAAATTCTTCTAGTTCTGATTATTTACATTATGTTTTTCTTTATTTATGTGCACGAATTAAACCAAAATAGTAAAATAAATAGAGGAAAAATGCTGTCTGAAATCCAGCAGAAATAAGTTCCATAATACTGCCATTATATTTGCAAAGTTTCTATGTGGTCAGACTCCTGTGTATTAATTTATGTCTTCACTCCAAGCTGGATGAACTCAGGTCATGAACTTTGCCTCTCTTTATTTTAAACAGGAGGAAGGAATTCTGTTCCTTCCAGTTGTATTTCTTTACAAAAAATTGTCTCTTCGAAGTCCAACACAAATTCAGAGTTAAAGTCTCTTAAGGAAATTATCCAGGTAGGTAGATAGACAGATAGATAGACAGATAGATAGATAGACAGATAGACAGATAGACAGAGAAATTGAGTAAGTGTTGACTGTCTTTGTTTCTCTTTAGCTCTCCTCAGGTCATCTGATTATGTGGCTGAAGAAATGAGAGGGGCAGATAAGCCTCTTTTATGCTTCCAAGCCACTTAAAGAGCTGAAGCACCAGCTTCTGTTGCTACACTGCGAGGGAAGAAAACAAGTCATTTGTGTACTACAAAATGGCTCCTCTCTAAAATGTGTTCCCTCAAATCTTAAGTTTACTGCTCGCCGCTTTGACAGTTAATTTGTTTTAATGTATATTAGATAGCGAGGTTCACCACAGTTTCATGACTTAAAAATGTTAAAAAAGGACACTAATATTCTATAATACTAAATGAACTCACACAGCATGCTCAATTTAAATTTTTATTCAGTATTTCTTTTTACATTTACTCCTCTTAATTATTTCTTGTATTAATTCTAAATTATGAACTACGAGTAAATGTTTGTACATGCAAATTTTTTATTGGCTTGACTTTTGGTGCGCAGCAAATAAAATAGAATCTAAGATTGTATTTTATTCAGTAATATGGAAATGTCCTCAGTTCCTGCTATATGTCATGAGGGCATCTCTTCTCTGCCTTCTTAATAAGGTAGTTCTGCAGGCCTCTACTGTAATATATTTCACCAATAAAGCAATTCCAAAGCTAGTCTGGCCTTTTGACCACCACTGAGAACGTGGAAAGCAGCAGGCCGCCTTTGCTAACTAGGCTTACTCTCTAATATTAGATACCTGTCCCCTGGCTTTTCAGAGGGGGGCTTAGCAGTTGATATTTTCATTTGGTCCTGCCAAGATGCGACACCCCCGCTTTAATCTTGTGTTTGACGTTAAGCGCTCTGTTCATGAAAAGTCTCTGTGAACTTCAACCTTAGGGTGGTGCTGTCATACAAAAATGATGTGGTGGGGGAGTGAAACTGGCTGGTCTATCCTTGACCTCTCCCATTGGCCTGCCAAAGTCTTTCCCCTGCCCTTCTTAATCAGGTGGGACCCTTCCCTTTTAGAGTGGAAGATAGTATATTCTCTGCATCCAGCTGCGTCGTTTTTTTATAATAACCAGCACAGATGTCTATGGATAAAGACATAGCAGAGAAATCTTGAAGGAAGAGAGCGATGCTGCTGAGTGCTGTTTCATTGGTAGAAAAAAAGGAAAATCCTCAGAGGACCATAAAGAAAACAGTGTATTTAAAAAGTCAACAATAAAAAATCAATATCAAGAAATACATTTTAAAGAATGCATGCTTCTCTGAATGAAAATCTCTGTAACATCATTCATTAACAAGGATAGCTAAATACAATGTTGCAGTGTTTGGAAAAATATCATTGATATGCAAGATTAATGGTCTGAATTGAAAGCAGAGTTCACTCTGTTGTTAAGAGGCAATTACTCTTTTACCATTTCATCAGAGCTGGAGAACTTCAGTATACATCTGCATGTTTGAAAATATCAGAAGGAAGACACGGGCAAAGTAGGAGCAGACTAATGAATTTCTTGTGATGGGTAACTACCCCTTAATTCAGCTGGAGGTTTTGTGTGCTGCTTCCATGTTAGCATTTATCGGGATGTTGAGGACAAACAAGCCACTTCTCTGCAATCGTTAAGATGAGTTTCCCTACTGATTGATGTGTGGAATCAATTGCTCCCCATAGAATCCATGTCACTCTATTACCACACTGTCTGGTAATGATAGGCTGTTCTCCACAAGATTATAGAGCTCTGTCACAAAGCAACAAAGACTTGCTTCCCTGTGTCTGACCTGGTCTGCTATAATTGAGAATAGCTTCAATTTTTACTCTGTAGGTAAACAGGAAAAAGAATTACAATGTTGATGGAAGTATGTCTTTATTATATTTAAAATAGTGAATTTTTATGCGGGAATGCAATGAATTATTGATGATTGAATTACTGAATAAAAAATGATTTTTGTATTGCTGTTAGCCGGAAAAAATATTCACAATTGTACCTTCAAGAGTTTAGCTGGATACTTGTTAAATTCATATACATCTTAAAAATGTTCTTATATTTACCTTTATTTTATTTTTTTTTAAAGAAAAAGCCTTTCACCAGCCAGGATCACATTCAAAGCACATCTCTGATCAGAATTTAAGCCAGAGCCCAAGTTGCAAACATATTTGAAGTCATCAAAACAACAGGTGTTTTCTCCATGAAATACTCCTCTGTGTAACTGTCCTTTTTTTTGTCATGTGAATACACCACAGCTCTCTTACTGCCAAGCTGACTACCATCCAACCCAGTAAGTGCCATCAGCATTGCAACTCATTTAGTTTGTGGCCCAGAGATGTACCACACAGCCCTGATCCTGATTACACATGATCAAAGATGAGTTCTTCAGCAATTTGATTATATATTTGAGCTTGAATTAAATCCACATGCCTGTGTTCCTCTGAAATGACTAATTGAATAGACTTTAGGGTTTAGAATGGTTTAATACAACAATGGGCATTTTTCTTCAGGTTGACCTCAGTCATTTGAGTAGGACTACAGTATGTGCTGCATTTAATTACCTACAGTTAAATTTGATTATCAGAAAATATGGTGCATATCAAGTGATTCCCTGCCCTTAAGTAATATTATTCTGTATAGTTAGAGTTGGAAAGAGATGACATGGGAACTTCATACAAGACAAAAGGCATGAGCTAATGAGACTGGTTAGTGATTCAAATTTATGGAAATTTTATTAATTACAGACACCTATCTTTCATCTGTACCATTTGGTGGTGAAGTAATTAAAACCAACAATGACAGTCCCAGCAGTCGAAAAAGCAAACAAGATCAAAGAAGGCAAAGCAGTCAGGAGAAAGTCCCGTATATATTGAACTCGGCCTGGCCGTGGGCAACAGGCCCTCATTAAAGTCAGACTTTGTTGATCATCAATTAACCTGCTTTGTTTTTGCTTCTGATTTTAAACTTGCATAACACCACTTTTCCTCTGCTCTTTACTGATTAAGGTTTTGTTCATAATGTTTGGCTGGAGGTGACCAAGACACATCATAAGTGCTGCCATGTATCATGGAGGGAAAACTTTTGATTGGTTGATTGGAAAGGACGATTGACCCAGTAGAGAGTTGAATGGCCTTATTACATGAAAAAACAATACAATTTTTTCCTTAAAACATAATCAACAAGACCAGCTGTTGTTGACCTTATTATTGTCAAACTGTGTAAAAAAAAAAAAGAAGAAACTAAAAAAAACTAAATAGGCAGAAAATTAAAGTTCTTTGCCTTTTTTCCTTCCTGTTTACCAGATTTTGCTCATTTTTTTCTCCAATTAACCGAATATACAAGCAAAGGATGCTTCAGGAAAATTTAATTGTTACAACAATTTATGCATCGCCTTTGTGAATTGTGTGGGGAAAGAATGCAAATACGTAGACGTTCCATTTATGATAATTGATTACATTTCTTTCTGATTAGAGTTAAGAAGATTCAATCTTGCATTTAGTGGTGAAAATGACTTCAAACTGATAACCCTGAGTGTTTAGCAAACCTTTCATTTGTCTAATGCATTTCTTGACATTGTTCTCATATTAGCTGCACAAAACTGCTTTTTGCTTCAGCAAAGTGTGCAAAAGTTAACACTGTCACATTTTCTTCTGCACTGTTATTCTGTAGGACATGTTTTGATTATGTATAATGGAACAAATATAGGTTTGAAAATAAGATTTTTCCTAACGGAGCAATGATGACAGTGACAGTGTTATCAACTGCTGATCAAGATATTTAAGTTGCTTAATTGACTCAAACTCTGAAGTGAAGAGGAATGCATCACTAAATCTCGCTGCTCACAAAGAACCACCCGACACCCGACGCTATGAGGACAACAAATAGATGGCCAGTCTTAACTTTTATTATGAGCAGTGGAGGTCATATTTAAAATGAGAGATTAGCCGCTCATCACAATATTGGTGGATTATCAACTACCTGCAATGAAAGCAACCCCTGGCTCTGGGTCGATAAGAGTTTGACTGCATTTCAAATTAATTTTCCTCAGCTTAGAAAGCCGGACTCCTATCTTGTTATTGATCACAGCGTTAATCCATAACCAAGCTCACCCTTTCCCCGTGGAATGAGCAGGAAAATATAAAACGATCACTGTGGAGGACTCTTGACTCTGTATAAAAACTGGAACAGGCTTAGAAGTGATTAGAGTTCATTATTTAAGAATACGTTCCCAGACTATTGTTTCACATCTCAGTTCATTTTTATATTGATCTGCATGTGTTCATTGTTCTTTCTTTTTTTTTTTTTACAATTTTATACCAACATTTATTCTGCTCTGTATTCCTTTGGTCTGGGTTGTGTTTATACATGACGATTGATTGATTGATTTCCCAGACAGCAGGAACACTTCACACCTCAGCTGCTTTCTCTGTTTGTCTTCTCCAACAGAGGGACCTCCACTCTGGATGAAATTTAGCCCCGACCTCTGACCTTTGGGTTCCCCGCTTGTCTCCAGTCCAGTGACCACAAACAACTCCTGGATTGCTGTAAATGTCAGTGCAGCGGTGTCTCCGCCCTCGCCCCTGTGAACCATAGGGCTGCACTCAACCTGCACTAATAGGACACTTTCATGAGAGCTCCATTATCAGTTATGCTGTATTTGATATCTCAGATTTCCTCCTTATGATGCCTCTATGAACTGAATAACTGTCACCAAACAAACAGCAATAAAGGGTCTGTCTTTTACGCTTTTTAAAAATATTATTTTTTTTCAGCTCTTCAAACATTACATTTGTTAGCACCCAGCTTAAGGTGCTTCACACAGTCCAAAAATATGAATTATTGTAATCATTTACATTTTATATGGAAATGTACGCTTTTAGATGCACAGTTTTAAAATGTATTGCCTAAAGAGTGCACGGTGAGCTGTTGGAAGTGACCCATTTAGCACACAAACCAGCTGGTACCATCTATCATAAGGCTCAGTTATAATAGATTGTAATTCATGTTCTGAAGACATTGGTTGTAATACATCCCATTTTGAAGCACTTTGGCTCGCCCTTCCCCCACCCATAAACACACACGCTCCCTTTCTCTCCTCTCCGGGCCTCCCGAGGTTGGTGTCTCTGCGTTAGGACTCTATTGTTGCCTACTGCTGGATAATGCCCTTATTAATTGTACCTCTTTGTAAGGTGTCAGCTGTAGCCTCAGATTGAGATGGATGGATCTCTGGAGTCTGCTCCCTGGCCCTCCACAGACGCTCTATCTCTGCACAACACACAGATGCAACAGTGAGTGCTGCCACACTATGACTAAAAGCTGAGATAAAACAGGCATTTTTAATTATTCCACCAAAAAAAGAAACATGTTTCCAAACTGAAAAGCCCTATTTTTGTCATTGCTAAGGTGAGCTAGCATGTGATGTGTTTAATTATCTGAATATCTGAACATACAATCCATAGCAGTGATGAAATATCTTTTTTTATTGATTATTTTAGTGTGTTGCAGGAATACGGCTCAATTAGGTGGATTGAAGCCTCCGTGAGATCAACAGCATTAACATCAAATCCTTTCCCTCTCATTAAAGGAAACAGAGTCAATTTAATTAATGCATATTAATCCCCACTGATGCTCATTTCAGCTTTTAAAAAAGCATGGCAGTGTGGACTTCAGATTCATCCGTTTCGAAAAATTCAGGTTTGATCACTTTCTGAATCAACATATACACATTTTCATAGCACATTTCAGAATCTTTAGATTGATTACCTGAATCATAGGTAACGGCCTTCATTAGCTGTAGACGTGGTTACCATTTTGTGTGTTTATTAATGTTAGCTGGTTTCAGTTAGATCCAGATGATAATTCAATATTATAATTTATAGTCTTGTTGTGTAATCGTATAGGTAATACAATTCTCAGAGATATGATTCTCAGTTCCTGTATCTAAATAAATGATACGTAAAATTCTTATGTAATTGGGAACATACTGTATATTTTTCTAAATTAAATAATTTAAATACTTTTGCCTTAATGAGAAAATGTGATTTTAAATATTTAAGTAACAGATTTAATACCCAAATATCAGGACCATTTTGTCCATATCCTCCTCTTGTGGCATCTATTCCACTGATACTAAGCAGCATAATTTCTTGCTTGTGCCCTGCTGTTTGCTCTCTTAACACGGCTTCATGAATGTCCGTGGATGCCACTTTCACCGAACCAATCATCATGATCAGCCATGTTAACCAGGGTTGTTAAAGTCATAATAATGAGTTGATCTGAAGCCCCTCTGACAATATATTGTAATAATTTCCCAGAACAAACCAGCTAATACCAACATTTCCACAGAATAGAGGACTTTCAGATAACAACTAAATTGATTCAATTTCTCATGTTAATGTCACAGGAGACCAGTGACTAATCTAGTTTTAATGTAGTGATTGCTCTTTAAGTTTCAAAATGTCTTAATGCAGAGGAGCTAGACATCTTCCTTTTCTGCCACTACTGTTACCTTTGTGCTTTTGAGCAAGATAACTCATGCCTACACAGCTCCCATCAAGCTCTTTGTATGTTATCCCACTCTTGAACAAGTCTTCATTGTTGATATTTCAAACTTGCAGTTGAGGAAATACATTAAAATAAAAATGTTGTCATATTTTATTTTGCTCTATCCACTCTTTTGAGAAGCTGTAAAACAAATTGTACAAATATTTGTATGTCCCTCTTACAATGAACAAATTCCTTAACATATTGTAATTCTTTTAAAGCACTTTGTCCGCAGTTCTTCTCTGAAACAATACGGTAACTGCACAGGCAGGAGACTGAAGCAGGAGACGGGAAGGGGGGGAGCACAGACCAGAAAATGGAGATCCATTCCCTTCAGATCCCATTTAGAGAGGCCCTGCACATTTTTAAAGTGTCAATTGTTTTTGTCTCTTGAAGTGTAGATGGAATGTTTGAATTCCAGTATTAACTGTAGTGCCTGCTGAGTTAAATTATGGTCCCTGGGCTGTGGGGTGGGAGTAATCAATAAGAATACACGAGGCAGTGTGTAATGTGTCTGCTCCTAGCAGCAGGAACACTGTCCCCCTTACCCTGTCCCCCAGCAGGTTAGATAAATATGATACTGAAACAGGGCACACTGGATTATATGATATCAATGTAGAATCAGGGAAGTGCTATTACACTCCCCTAGCCCACTGTGAGTACTATTGACAAGGTTGGCTTTGAACATGGTAGTGTATTGCACGCTCTCTCTCTCTCTCAAGTGTCTCATCCTTCTGCTCTCTCTCTCTCTCTCTCTCTGTGTCTGCATAATGTGAAGAACCACAGGAGGAAAGGGATCTATATTTCACTTAGCTTTGATTAAAATGGCTATTTTATGCCTATGCCTTGAAGTTGTGTTTATTGCACCCACAAGTTAATCTGCGAGGGAAGGGCATGCTGTGATCATAATTTCTAAATGTCCAGATGTGGGGTTTTTTTTGCATAAAGAGCCAATAACATAATGTCTAATCAATATACAGTGCAATTGATTTGAATTTCAATGCTCTGTGACTTATTGCTCATAACATTTTCCCCATTGATGACTGGATCTTTTCTCTTTCTCATGTTGACCCTGTCAAATGTTCAACCAATTAAACCAGTGTGGCGATTGTTGTTGTATGGCTGCATACTAGTTACTCATACAGTAACCTCATATCACTGATCCGCTCAGACTATTGATTAACTCTTCCTCCTCAGTGGTGAAAGGATCAAACCTGGCATGTCTGAAAGGCCATTATCAGCGCCCACCTCAGATAACCTGCTACAACCTGATACAACCCTTTTCACAGGTCGCAACCTCTCTGCCCTCTCCAGCCATCTAACACCTCCCTCCTCCTCCAACCATCATTATCATTATGTTAAATGACATACAGGTCAAGAAATCAGCACCGTGTTGATGTGTCACATGTGAATAATCCATGTTGCTGCAAGACGTCTCCCGCAAATGTCATGCTTCTAGTTTATCCAGTAGATTTTTGCATAAAGGCAAATTAAAGTTTAAGATACACTTTCTCCACGATATACTGTGGGTGTAGTTGTATTTTCATACACTGCTATGTCAGTTCCTAAATATTAGTTACGTTTTTAGAGCATTGTTTCCAGGAAAAAAACACTTTTTCAAATTCAATTAAAGGCTCATAGCAGCAACCCCCAGTCAGTCTTCATTTAGACGTTCAGTCATTCCTTTATTTCAATTAAAACCCCGACAAGTGCACTGGGGGCTGGATTTGTTGATTTGTTGTTACACTTTCCAAAGTGCATTTTGCATTCTGAGGAGGAATCTAGATATTACAGCATTTTTTTGGTCCAGGTATTAGTGACATCGCAGTTGCTTTCACACAAAAGATTTGGCAGAAGCTAATTTGCATAAGGTCAGAGTCAAGCTCCTGATGGAAGTTGTGCAGCATCCCTGTCTCTTAGCAACACTCTTTCTCTCTTGGTGTCTGTGTTGAATTGACTGGTCCTTGGCACTCATCTTTCACCAAGAAAATTCATAATTAAATGCCACCGACAACCTGCATCTATCACCAAGAGACACTTCCCTCTTGGGTTGAAATACTTTCCACTGAAAATACACTGAAATTAATAAATCAGCACATTGTTTAAAAGCACAGTGGAGGAGACTGCTATGTGTTTGCTCTTGCTCAGTTTTTTAGAGACTTTGGTTTGGGGGTGGGGGTGGGGGGGATAAACATGTTTATTAAGAATTGTGCCAAGATTAGAGGCAAATTAGCAGGTAATTGGAGACACCTGCAAAACAAAGGGGAGGATGGAGAGGTGGTAGTGTGGAGAGTGATAAAGGAAGAGATTGGGTTTCGGGCTGGCCTCCACCCATTTATTGGTGGGGGAGGCATTTAAAAAGAGGGGATTTGGTATGTTGAGAAAATGACTTTTGTCCTCTACCATGGTGACAGGATCCAGATGCTGCCAAGAGATGTTAATAGAGGGTCAAATTTTGGACAATAGTATCCATCATTGCTTTCACAACTGCCTCCATCCTCCAAGCTGAACGCTTTCTCTGGTTAAAAGAAGAGATGTGCTCCAATTACTGTTTTTGGCGAAGGCAGCCAGCCATAAACTATACTGTAATTACCGCTCTGCTGATGATTTCTATCATCTTGGTCACATGTGGTCTTTGCCCAGCACATTTCAACTTTCCGTGAAAAGGTCAAATCCATACACGTTCATCGCCCACTCCTTTACATCCTTTTGCGTCGCGCAGGTCGCCGTCTTCATCCTCTACATCGTGGTCGTACACAACATCCAAGTCATGACAGGTGCTGGGCAGACATTAAACCTGCTGTTTTCTCTTTCCAAGTACGCCGTGTTTCACGACTCATTTCCAGGCAGAGTCTGGCTTTGAGGAACTCTGCCTGAGGAAATGTGTCTGTGCACTGGGAATTATTTCAGCTCTCCCTGCTGTTGCACCCAGATACACACGCACCCTTACACTGTCTCAAGCCACAGCAATGCTGAAAATGGAGCCATTATTATTGAACACAATAGTACATTTATAAATAATATTTATTTATTATTATTAGGCTATTATTTTATAGTAAAAATTAAAACATTTTATCAGGCTATAAAAGCTCTTGGATTTAGGTTGCAGACCTATTAATATGATTACGAAATACATAAATAAAATGAAAACAACGGATCCCTACATAAAGCTTTTACCTGGACA